GTGGCCAGAATCCCCGATCACTACTGTATGTAATATTTACAAGAGACTGCCGAGCGCAGTGCAGCCTTTTTAACCTGCGAGACCGAAGACTGCACGGTGACAAGAGCACTGCTGATGCTCCCGTGGTCTGCCGTAGCACAGGGCCCTCCTGAGCGACAGTGTCGACGAGGTTAAGGAAGCCGCATGCTAAGTGCCATTACTACTGTACACGGACCATCGCCTCTGTCTCCTCCGTTCCTTGCGTGACTGAGAACCGTGACATCAGTGTCGTGTTTTTGAGCTTCTGGGGTTCAAAAGAAAATGTAGTGTTGTCAGGTGTCCAGGACCTTGTTTTACTCCCGTTTGTTGAGTGCTCTGACTGTGAAACCTCTCTGTTGGCGAGCTGCGAGTTTGTTATGCAGAGGCTCCTTAGTGAGACTGCAGAAAAGGTTCTTTTTCAATAAATGGTTTATTTTAGGAAAGCTAAGTCAGCGTCTGTTACTGGCTCACAGTGAAAGAGCGAGCAGGACAGAGGGTGGGGGTCTGTCACCTGCCTTTACCTGCTGTCCCTCAGTAGAAAGAGCACAGGGAGCAAGCTTGCCCAGTGGGACACCGAGCCAGGAATGTCCCACCTGTAGCCCGTGAGCCGCGTGCGTCTCAGGATCACTCTGAGTGGGGCTCAGTACATAGGCAGATGGAAGCATATCACACGGTAAGATTGGGCACGCCTGATCTAGTCTGCTTGCTCACAGGCGAAGGGTGTGACTCAGATGAAGGAAGACTAATGCTGAAGGTGGCTCCTACAACAGCCATCCATCCATAGTGGAGGCTTAGGCCGTGTCCCATCTGTGTAGAACCTGGGGCAGGGGGGCAGTGTGCATGATCTCTTCATAGGCAAATGTCTTTTCAGAGCCTAACCTGAAGTAGGCTAGACAAGTAGCTGGAGTCAGTTCTCTCCACCATATGGGTCCCGGGGAGTTGTACGCGGGTCCTAAGGCTTGGGCGTCAGGCTTTTCTACCTGCTGAGCCATCTTGCTGGCCCCGTTTCTGTCTCCCATTTGGGGGAATGCCTGTTTAGATATTTTGCCGATTTTAGAATTAGGTTATTTGTCAACTTTTGCAGAGCTTTAAGTGTTTAGTTTTTTTTTTTTTTTAACATGCTCTTGAGTAAACCTTCTGTACCTAATCTGCGGTGTGAAGATGTCTTTTCCCATCTGTGGTTTATCTTCTTTTAGTTTCTTCATAGCGTCTGTGAGAATCAACAGTTTGTTCTAGAAGCCCGTTCATTGTCTTGCTCTTTATTGCCTGTGCCCACTGCCTGACTTACCTCTCATTTTTGCTTTCGGATTAGGCATGAATTAGGCCCCCTCTCTTTCAGTTGTTTTTGGGGATCCAGGTTTGTGTCTGTTACAGAGACCTCTTTCCCGTGGATCTCCTCACAGTGCTGTGAATGGAAACGCATTTCAGGTCATAGTCAGCAGCTCATGGCACATGGACACAGATACGGTGGACTTTGTGTTTTGATCTTTTATCATGCAGCCTTGCTGACTTCATCTCAGAGTTGTAGACTCCATCCGTATACAGCGACGTGTGGCCCAGGAGCAAGGTCAGTTCCTCTTCCTGGGGTGAAATCTGCTTTGCAGTTGAATGTGTCCCTTTTCTACCTCCCTGCATCATTTATGCTATTTTTGAGAGGACTTTCCCTCTGTATTCCCAGACGGCTGTGCTCTGTAGCTCTTGTTTCTGGTGATCCCTTGACTCCCTATTAGGAGGGTGAGGCCTTCCTAGAGTGAATCAGACATCGCCTTTTCTCCATTTACTCCGAGATGGTGTGGGTTGTGTTTTCTTGATCTTTTGTTGTGTCTTAGTTAGGACTTGCTCACAAAGCTGGCGGGGCTGGACCTGTCTGTGGAGGGCTGTTTTCAGTTTCTCTGAGCTGACTTTAGAATCTCTCTGTCTCACCACGTTGTTGGATTTCTCGGCAGACGGCCAGTCAGTCACTAACTGCCATCACACTCGGTGTCTGCTCGGCCGCTGTCCCTCGGACTCCTGTGTACACATCTGTCTGCTGTCCCTCAGACTCCTGTGTACACATCTGTCTGCTGTCCTCGGACTCCTGTGTACACATCTGTCTGCTGTCCCTTATACTCCTGTGTACACATCTGTCTGCTGTCCCTCAGACTCCTGTGTACACATCTGTCTGCTGTCCCTCAGACTCCTGTGTACACATCTGTCTGCTGTCCTCACAATCCTGTTGTACCCGTCTGTGCTCTTTGATAAAGAGATAAAGGTCTGTCCATCTTTTCAGTCTCTTCTGGCTTCACTGGTGTTTTCTCTTATTTTTTTGATTTCTGTTTTTTCTGTAGTGATCTTCATTATTTCTTTCCTTACCTTTTAGGTTTAATTTGCTTACTTTTCAAAATACTGGTAAAAGCATTCTGCTAGGCTGCTTTGGTCAGTAGCTTACACCAGGCCCATGCCTACAGGTGACTTCCAAGTAAGAAGAGTCAGCCACTCCCATGGGCACCAAGGCTGTTAAAGTGGCAGCTTCCATCTGCGGGCACTAATGGGTGGCAGGAGCTGCAGAGATCCAGAGGGCCTGGCGCTGGTTCATGGCTTACATGGGCTTGGTGGCGGCTACAGCTCCAGGGTGGCACGGGGCAGCTGTAAAGTAGCAGATAGTGTGAATGGTAAGTGTGCACACATGCAGGGTGTGTGCACACGTGATAGTGTGAATGGTGACTGCATATGCAGGGTGTGTGCACACATGATGTGTGAATAGAGAATGTGTGCACATGCAGGGTACACGCACACGTGCCACAGCAAGTGTGTGTTGATCAGAGTACTTGTGAGATCTAGTTCTTTCCTTCCAACACATGAGGCTTGAGGATTGAACTCGTGTCTCTTGGCTGCAGGCACCGTTGCCTGCTGAGATGTCTTGCCAGCCCCATTTTGTCAAAATAAAGCGTTACATAAATGTTTTATTTAATCCTATCCATTGAAGTGGGGCCTCTGGATGCTTCATTTATCTTAGTTTTGCTCTGATGGCAATGGCACATCACAGCCTTGCTTTTTATACTAAAATCCCAGGCACACATTCTCTGCACCCTTGCACTCTGTCCACTGCTCTGCCGAAGTCAGAGGTCCTGGTTTGGTAATACGCTCGACAAGTGTTCTTGGTCGTCTCAGGGGCAGGCACCACCGCTTCACATACCGAGACATCCGTTGTTTGGCCTCCTGGAATGCTGTGACACAGTTATCTCTGAGGCCTCCTCACCCCCTCTCCCTGCACCTGTTTCCTTCTGAATCATCCCTTAGTGGGTCCCGGTCACCCCTGAGCTGGAGCAACCCATTGCCCAACCAGAATACCTAGTTCCAACGTGAACTCACCTCACCTTGGTCCTCCCTATTTGGGGTCTTTTCTCCTTGGTAGCCAAGCAATTGAGAAGCATGCTTTAAGCACCAGTCACGCCTGTGCATGCTGGAGGCTGCACCAGCCTGGGAGTTTGGGTGTCCATCCTCTCTGAGCCCTTGGCCTGTTTCCAGTGGCGTGCGTGGCAGGCTGTGGCTTTTTAATATTCACTTTGAGAGCCCAAGTCGCTGGACTGTGCCCTCAGCTTTTCCTCCTCATCTCCTGCAAGGTCTCAGGTAGAATGCCCCCTTAAGCACCACTTGGGACTGCCAGATGTCCCAAGTGGTTGGCTCCTTAGTAGGTACCTATGCACAAGCTGAAAAGGAGTGTAGTGCCATTTTTGTAAATGACCCTGCCCCTGTTTGAGGGCTTCCCAAATCCTGTGACTGTTTTTTGATATTTTCATACCATTTGGTTTCAAAACCAGCATAAGTCCTTCAAGACTAGTGGATGGCATTTCAGCAAGACTGGGAAACCAAAGCTGTCCCCCGTTGACCCCTCTCCACGACTCAAGCAAGCCCTCGGCTGGTCTCCCAGCACCTTTGTCTTCACCCTTGCTTGGAGGGGCTTCCTCGCCCACATCTCTTACAGGTAGCATCCCTGGATTGTCTTACTGTGACTGATTAATGCTGCTTGCCAACGCGACAGGATCTAGAATCTCCTAGGAGACAAGCCTCTGGCTGGGCAGGTAATCTAGGCTAGAACAACCGAGGTGGGCAAACCTACCTCAGCCATGGGCTTCCCCACTCCATGGGCTGGGGTCCTGACCCGTACAAGACAGTGAGTGAGCAGAGCGCCCACATTCTCTTTGAGTTGGACCAGATTCCTCGTGCCCTCCCCATCTTGCCCCAGGACCTCCCCATTGGGACAGACTGTGCCCTTGAACTCTGACCCAGAACAAATCCTTGCTTACACCAATGTTGTTCAGTATTCTAATACACTGACAGGTCATTTGGGGGTGGTGATCTCAGTAACATATCTTATATAAATCTTGCCTCAAGCCGCTAGCAGTCCCCTACCAGGAGCACAGTTCTCTGGAATACCCAAACTGAGGGCAGAGGAGAGGCTGGAACATTCATGTAAACACATGCCACAGGCAACCCAGATAAACACTTTAATTTTTTTTTTCTTATTTGGAGGCATAATTTAGCCGTCTTACCTAAAGCACTGTTGACTCCATCGCTGGCAATGAGGGTTAAAGACACAGCACCAAAGGGTGGCAGGGACACCTTCCCTTTCACCCCAGCCCCGCCCTTCCCTGCAGCCTCAGAGACCCATTGTCCCAGGGTCACAATGAACAAGCCATTCTCCTCTCTCACACGTGTGTGTGTGTGTGTGTGTGTGTGCAACTGAAAAGATAACCAAACCCGAGAATTCACACGGGAAGGAAAAGGGTTTAAGAACTGTAGACAGTCTGCATCAAGAATTCACACGGGAAAGGGGAAGGGTTTAAGACAGTCTGCATCAAAGGACATCTTCGTTTCCCCTCCAGCGCTGAGAAAAACTCAGTGACTGGAGGGGCTCTGGCTTCTGCTCCTCCCGGCAAGGCTCCCCGGCTCCATCACTGAACCCTACTAAGAAGGCTAGGCAGGGGCCAACAGTTCCCAAGGTTCCTTTTGGAGGCGATGTTCCCAGGTCAGTCTGTCTGTTTCTGTTTGTTGTCGATATTGCCGTAGGCAGAGCCCTTGTCGATCTCTGTCACGCCAATCATCCATCGAACTCCCATGGAGGCTGCAGAGACAGGGAAAAGCAGTTAGTAAGCACCGGAACACACTCCAGGGGCGCTTAGCCAGTGGGAGCCACGAGGAGGCCGTTGCCCTGAAAATGCATATGAATCTGGGTACCATCTGACCCCAACTTCTGGGCATTCCTTTGCATGTTGAAATGACATTAAAAGGACAATGATAGGGCCTCGGGGGGAGGAGGGCATCCTTGCACCATGGAGGTAAAAGGAACTGGGCAAGCAGCATGCATCTGTTCACAGACTTCTCTGGTTTCCCTACTATCCAAGGCAAAAAGGTGGTGGTGGTTTGGGGATTGTAGTATGGGCCACTTTGTGAGGATATATGAAGGCCCTGCATACCCACAAACTCTACCATTGTGTGGGCTGAAGCTGTGGCTGTCCAGGTGCTGGACCCATCGAGGCACTCACTCAGAAACTGCCACAGAAGATAAGCAGTGACCTCTGCGACGGGGGCTTGGTGAATTCCCTGTGTGCCAGGCTGTGTCCTAACCACTGAGCACACAGTTGAGGGTACAGCGGGTGAGCCAGCAGGTACAGCCCCAGATGATGGTGTGTGTCACAAACACTGTAGGTAGGCTGCTACTCAAGACCGTGCAGTGAATAGGGAAGCTGCCTGTGCAGGTGGAGAGCTGTCTGCTCGGACACCTCGAGTCCCTGAGATACAAGCCCTGTCCCAATTCTGGCCCTTGAGTGGAGTGCCTCCTCAGTAGGAGGGCCAGTGATAACCTGTAGGAAGCAGAAGAGACGTGGACTCTGCTCCACAGGCCTCAGGAAGGGGAGGAATGCAGGACGAGAAGGTGGTGCAAACTGGACTACGGTGTCCATCTCCAAATGACCACAGCACCCCAGGCTGCGTGCTCAAGCTATTGGGCACTGCTTTCCCTGTCCCTCTTCATTTTTAAGGGGTGCAGCTCTCCTGCTGGCTGGCATGGCCTCTGCTGGCCTTCCTGGTATCAAGCCCTGGCCAGCCTCCTTCCCAACACCCTGGTGCACACAGACATGTCAGGGTGCTCACTACTAAGTAAGAAGAGTGTTCAGAAGATGCAGCCCGTGGTGTGCCTTTACGCTTGAGGCTGCAGTGGTCCTCAGGAGATGGCTGTCAGCACCAGGCTCCAAGTGGGAGTCCACCCTGAGACCACGGTATTTTATGTTTTACAGAAATAGCCAGCCTGTTTGCTCGGGACACACACACACCAGTCTCCTGGCCTTGGTCCGGTGCCACTGTTCCTCAGTAGTGGAAAAGTGGAAGCTGCTCATGCTCGCATACGCCTCTGGAGCAGGCCTGGCCTTCAGGTGGCAGGGGAGTGTCGCACACCGGGCAGTGACAGGGAGCAGCGTGCACACAAGCTCAGTGTGGGGAACTGCTTTGGTCGGACAGTGCTGGGTAAGCGAGCCATTGTGAAGAACGAAGAAGGAACTTGCTGCACTCCCTCACTCCAGCCCATTCGCAGGTTACAGGAGTCCCAGAGGGAGGGCCCCACGTCTACTTCCAAGGCAAAGAGCTTGCAACTAGATCCCTCAAGCCCTGGGCCAAGGTTTCCTTCAGAGAAGGGAGGGCGGAGTCTCGGGGGACGAGGGAGTCCAGGATCATCTAGACTCCTGCTCCACAGCCTGCAAGAAACCCACACATCTGGCATCCACCAAGCACGCTGGCTTCACTTGGAGCCTCTGGCTTGTACTCACCCATACAAAAGATGAGGACCAAGCTAGCCAGCGTCACTGAAGAACCGCTGCTGACCATGCTCACGAGGAACTGGAAGAGAGGATAGAGCAGCAAAGACGCCCAGAACAACCAGTTGACCAGGGCCCAAGGCCGGCGTGGGGGAACCCAGGGGGTCTCTGGGAAGACCCCTGTCCTGTAGTATTCCTCCTGAAAGGCATCCTGGGGACAGAAAATGTGCCTCAGACACCATGCTGGGATCCAGGTGGTGCCTACTGGGTCTCTGGTAAAACCTTACAGAAAGTGCTCTGTGGGCAGCTACTAGGGAGTTTCATTGCTGCCCAGTCACATCTAGTGGCTGTCTGCCACTCTCTTTCCTGTGTGGGAGGGAGGTTGGGGCTGGCCAGCCTCAGTCAGGCGCCGAGGACACACAGCAGGACCGTGGTGTTAGGTTGAGAAGGCAAATGAATGGCCTCTTGAGCTCTGCCCACACCAACCAAAGACACGCGCTCACTCTGGCCTTGAGCTTGGGGTGAGCTGTGGGTCCACAAGGGACAAGGTGCTCCTCACTGCAGGAGCCAGCACTTTCTTGGCACAACCTCTGTTAGATCAAGTTAGGGCAATGATAATTAAGTTCTCCCTGCCCTGTTATATTTCTGGAAGAGAGAAGCCTGTGAAAGCCAAGCCCCTACTCAGAGGAAGAACAAGCTGGGGAGCTGGACCAGGGACCCTTCGGGGATGCTTTCTTATTTAAGTCACACTTTGAAGTGACACAGGGCCACCCAATAGTCTGCTCAAGAGCAGTCAAGACCCATCCGTCACTAAAGTGAACCCTCCCTTAGGAACATGTGCCTGGGCAGCAGGCCAGGCTGCTGGACCACTGATAGACATTATATTGGTAAACTCTCACATGCTGTTGAAGCTTGTTATAAAGGGGACACTGAGAACAAGGAGGCTCTCTCTCCTTCCGCCTTGTCTCACTGAGCTCGTTCAAGTATCTTCCATAACTCTGTGACAGCAAGAATGGAAAAGAGGAAGCAGCTAAGAATTAAAAACACTGAGCCCTTGAGAAGAGTTGGAAGAAGGACCATTTCCAGTGGAAGCTGCAATCGTTTACCCTGTGGTACAAATGCCTGGACGGGAAGAGGAAGCCAGAGCTCCTCCGTGGACAGAGCTCAGCTGAGAATCCAGGTGATGGTGCCAAGTCCCCAGTGAGGATGTCTGCTGTCTGTCCTCCTACCTCTGCTATCTGTTCCCTTCCTTTGCTCACTGCACATTAATAAAAACTCACTTGTGAGTTCAGCGACTGTCGCTTCTTCTCCGGACAGCACAGAGCAGCTATGACCTCCTGTTGGCCCACTCCACCCACACCAGGGTTTCACTTCCTGTGGGGCCACCTGATGATGCATTCTGCTACGCTCTTACTGCTGGGCACGTGGATAGCTAGGGGCACCAATAACTGGCTCCCAGTGCCCACCCATCAAAGTGTCGTCTTCCACCCTAGACCCCACAGCTGGGCGCACCCACCTTCTCCTGGTATAGCTTGTGTAGCCAGGCCGAGCACTTGTCCTCGTCCTCTGGGATGTCTTCCATCGGGATCCTCCTGTGAAAGCAGAGAAGAGTTAGCATGGAGAGAGCCGTGCTGAGCACCGGGTCCAGTTCCTGATGACAGTTCTGGCTGTGTGGGGAGAGGCGAGTGGCCCAGGGGTGGGTGGGGGGTGTGAATGTAATTGCCCCGCCCCCTGTAAGCTCACAGGATGGCACTATGAGGAGGTGTGGCCTTGTTGGAAGAAGTGTGCCCCTGTGGGACTGGGCTCTGAGGTCTCCCACTCTCAAGCTATGCCCAGTCTCAGTTCACTTCCTGTTGCCTGTGGATCAAGATGTAGGACTCTCAGCTCCTTCTCCAGCACCGTGGCTGGCTGCACGCTGCCATGTCCCGCCATTAATGGACTAAACCTCTGAAACGGTAAGTTAGCCATTCTAGTTAAATGTTTTCCTTTATAAATTGCCGTGATCATGGTGTTCCTTCATAGCAATAGGAACCCTAAGATAGATGGAAATCCCAAAATGCAGTCATGGCCAAACAGAACCAAGCAAGGGTCAAGTCAATGACACAGAGATGGTTGTCAGGAATGGGGACCTGCCTTATCCAGCTTCCACCTCCCCAAACATGATACTTGCTCTGAGCACAGTGAGGGTGAGCAGATCAGTAAGGAACTGGGAGGGAAGGCTACTCCCCAGGCAGTAAGGTGTGCCTCTTGAGTTCAACTGTAAATAAAGACTGGAAAGAAGTTGACTGGGAAGGCAGCTTCTAGAGAGATGCTAACAGGTTCTTCTGGAAGGCTGCAGGTAGTGATTTGGTACGTAGAAACAAGCTCCCCCTTTCCTACGGAGGACGCAGGGCTGACTTACCTAACATAGCAGTCCGCATGATATTTCTTTCCATTTAAGACTCCCAGCAGTGTTGGGTTTTCATTGTTTCTGAAATTGAGTGTACAGTCATATACAGCTGGGACTATAAGACAAGACAAACACAAGGCAGTATATAGCAGGTGAGGCCGGTTCTGCTTGGTAGTCACACATAGCGGAAGACATAAGCACACCGTAACCCATCTAGCAATGACTCATGGGATAAGATCTCTCTTCCTTGGCCTTTCCTAGATTGTTTACTTGCCCTACATTGGACACGTGTCATCTTTTGTAACCAGAAAGCCAACTATAAGCTGGTCATCCAACAGTAACTCCTGTGGTCCCGTGGGCTTGAAAGTGGCGATTCCCATCAGATCTAGATTGGCAGTGACAGAAATGAGTGACTTTCTAGTCGGCACCTGTGGCTGTTTGGACGAACATGGGCACCAGATGGGTTAGATTCGTCCGAGGCTGTGTCTGTTACACAACTACAGCCATTCTGATTTTTTTTTAATGGAAAATTTATAAAAGATTTACTTAACTATGTGGATGCGTTTGTGTGGGTCTGTGTGCCCATGAGGCCAGGAGAGGACGTCAGATCCCCTGTTGCTGGATTTACAGGCAGTTGTGAGCCACCAGAGGACGGTGATGGGACAGGAACCCCAGTCCTCTGCGAGCGCAGTAAGTGATCCCCAGAGCCATCTCTCCAGCCATGGTGTAAACTTTTCTATGAACATTTTCAGCCCCCAAATGAAGCAGCCACAAAGCCAGGACAAGACATCTACATCCTGGACACTAAGCTATCCTGCCAGCATTCTAGTCAAGCTTGCTGTGGAAGGCCTGGGACCTGGCCCAGGCTCGAGAAATGCTTACTGTTCAATGAATGGGCTAGCTCATGACAAAAACAAGTGAATAGATTGTGAAAAACCATAGCAGGAACGGATGGCCTCTTTCCAGTGTGCAAGGCAGCAGAGAAAGTAGAAAATAGAGGCGTTCCAGAGCGTGGCTGGGTGTGGCGCCCACAAACACTTCTTCCCAGCGATAGGCAGTTTGCTTAGCTACATCCCTCAATCTTCCAAACCTCGGTGTTCTGGAGAGTGGACTCGTGTTGCCATCATCACGTAGAGGCTGAGGTGACAGATGTCGGTCAAAATGGCAGACCCAGCACACTATACTCGTGATGATAGATCATGGCCCTAAGCCGAGAGCTTTACATAAATTCATAATTTACATAAATTACTATTAGTGCAAGTAGTGGGGGATCATAGGGATCCTAACTGGTACCTGGACCACTCAGAAGTATGAAGAATAAGGATTCAAAGGTGATAAAATCACCATCTGTTCTTTCCCTGATGTCTGACCCTGCTACAGTTCTGTAGGTCCCCACTATAGATCTGTAGATTCCCCACTACAGTACTGTATGTCCCCACTACAGTCCTGTAGGTCCACTGCCTTTGCTGATGGGAGAGGGTCCCCCTCATAGGCATACCCAGAGGCTGTGCCCTGAAAGAGCTAACAACTCTCTGTCATAAGTGGGCACTAGACCAAAAGACATTTAACCTGTTCATGTCCTTGGTGCCCTGGCTAATCCGTGATGTGGGGCTAAGGAGGTGTCCCTCACAAGAAGAGGGTACATAGGGCCTGAAACCACAGGGCCAGATTTGTCCACTTCTGACTGCAGGACAAAACCTGGCACACCAGGTTCTAGAAAGGCCTACCCAACCCTATGATGCCTTCCCACTTAAAGCTGTGTCAAGTCCTACGCAGCCCAAGTATGGCGTCAAGCCTCTCGTGGGAGCCCAATGTGAGAGAAAGGTGTTACGTAGGAGAACAAGAAAATACATTTTACATTGAAGCAGAGGGTTTAAAAAGAAATGGGGGAAGCTGGGTGGTGGTAGTACATGCCTTTAATCCTCTCACTTGGGATTAAAGGCAGAGACAGGTGGACCTCTGTGAGTTCAAGGCCAGCCTGGTCTACTGAGTAAGTACCATAGGTTCTAAACCTACAAAGAAACAGAGAAACTGCCCCCACAAAAACAAAAAAAGGAAAGAAAGCAAGAAAAAGTCATAGCAGGACACCAGGGGCAAGTTACCACTGCTTTCTTCTGTTTTTATCTACAGTGACTTGAGGCTCCAGACTCACAGGTGAGCTGCCATAGTATACAGGTCAGGTTATCTGCAGGTGGTTGATAGCAATAGACAAGCAAGAGATGCTTCAAAGACATGCCAGCTGCTTCACCATCAGGCCATCCATGCAGTGATGCCATTGACCAGCAGAGGGCGGTACTCACTGAGGTGCAAAAACATGAAGGGCCCAGCTAGCCTTGCACCTGTCCCTTGTTCCAAGTGCTAACTAGCCTTGAAGACCCCTGTTTGGCAGGCATCCTTACCTACATCTCGCAAGCACTTCACGGTGATAGCAAAGCCCTTGGTGCGTGGCAGCAGGTGGTGCTTGAGACTGGGCAGTCCCTTGGCTTGGGCCACCTGCATGCTGATCTGGTGTTTCTTCTCTGTGAACCTTGTGCCCTCACAGTGAATCAGGAACTAGAAAGCAAAGGATGCGGTCACACAACCCCAAGGTCAACCAGAGGCCACAGTTAACCCAAAGAGGTGCAGAGTCTCGCCTGAAGCCAGGTCAGTTCTAGAGCCCTCGTGTTACACAAAGCCCTAAAATCAAACACAATTTCAGGTCCCACTCAGTTCTGTGCTCATTTCTGTTCCTGAAGTGCCCCCTAAGTGTGGCAGCCGTAGGAGCCAGATAACACACTGTGCCGGCGTACCAGATAGTTCTCTGGGTAGTCCCGGAGGTGCAGCAGGCTCTTGGCGACCGTCTGCCGATCCTGCTCCCACTTGCGCGTGCAGAAGATCATTTCCACGAAGTACCACATCCAGCCAATGATTGGGACGTAAGCCAGCTCTTTCTTGGCCAAGACTTTGGAGTTCTGAAATAGAGGTAGAGCACTTTAGGGTGTTTGTGAGGAAGACAGAAGTTCTTCACGGCTGTTGGAGATCTTAGGGGTAAGAAGGAACGAGTTATACCAAAGCCTTGGCACTCAGAACTCTTCTGGCTGCACTGACCCGAGGTCAAGAGCATACTCACCGCTTGGGGGTGGGCTGCTCCAGGATCAGAGGTCTGTGAAAGTGCCAGCTCTCAGCAGAGGGGATAGAGGCTTGAGGATGCTCTCATGGACCAGAGCCCTCCTAGGTTATTGGTATTTGGCGTGCTCACCAAGCCCACCCTGAAGCTCTTCCTGGGAAAATCTGTATGATGCCATCAAAGATGGCCATCAACAAAGCCATTGAGTTCTACAGACAAGGCCAGCAAGGTCCACTTGGCAGATAGGCAATTGGAGGTCAGCAGGGTTAGAGGGGCCCCATAGCTGCTGGCATGAGGAGCAGGGTAGGCAGGAAGGCAACCTGGATCACATGTCTGCCTGCCTGCCTCCCAGCCATCCCGCTCTGTGTGTGTGTGTGTGTGTGTGTGTGTGCGTGTGTGTGCGCACGCGCAATCACATTCATGTTTATGAATGCAGGCACGTGTGCCATGGTACACATGTGGAGGCCAGAGGCCAGTGACATCAGCCCTCATCTTCAACCTTGTTTGAAGCAGAGACTCCTTGTTATTGCTGCATATTCCAGGACAGCTGGCCCACACTAGTTTCAGGATGCGCTTGCCCTCACCACTCACCTCCCTGTAGGTGAGTGTAATCCCGGGATTACAGACACTCATGCTATGTGTCTGACTTTCAGGGAAGTTCGGAGAAATCCAAACTCAGGTCCTCCTGCTTGCGTGACAAGTACTTTGCCCATTCAGCCTCCTCCCCAGGACTCCTCCACCACCATCCTCCCGTTTGTATTTTTACCCTTTGGTTTGGGGTTGACTAAGATGCTCCCTGACTCTTGAGATGATGCCCAAGTTGGCAGTGTGGATAGTTGATGCCAGCTATCTGTCCAGTCACGGTCCTTAGCCTTGGCTGCCTAGCGGGAAAAGCAGACGCTTCACAACACAGCCCCTCCCCTTGGGCCCCTCTTGTCTTTCACTCAGTAGTCTTCATGTTTCTACCCTGCTTTTCCTCTCAGCACAGAGTAACTTTAAAGTCTCAGAAGTGGGAACAAACTGCTGGACTCCTGAGGTGATGCCTGTCACCCTGGAAACCAAACTGTCTCTGGGGTCACAGTTCTCCCTGAAAGCCCATTGCCCTAGGTCCACACTAGACTTCAGACCCCGGAGTTCCCTCTAACTCTTGTCTATGACAGGGAGTCACATTCCTCCTGGCCCTCACCTTTTGTTTTCTGTCACTGCCCATAGAAACTTAAAATTTCTACGATGTAAGCAAATGGAACCAAGCTAAAAGCCTCAATTGACTAATCATGCTCATCTTTCTGGAAGTTAAAAACTGTTTTTAAGATTCTATGTACTGGGCTGGAGAGATGGCTCAGTGGTTAAGAGCACAGGCTGCTCTTCCAGAGGTCCTGAGTTCAATTCCCAGCAACCACAAGGTGGCTCACAACCATCTGTAATGAGATCTGGCGCCCTCTTCTGGTATGTGGGCATACATGGAAGCAGAATGTTGTATCCATAATAAATAAATAAATCTTAAAAAATACATGAATCATAAAAGAAATAGAAATCCAAGAAAAAAAAAGATTCTATGTACTGCACCTTGCGAAAATTACACGTGGCAGTGCTCAGGGATTACAGAATGACCCATACTGCCACCTACAGAGATGCTGTCTCTCATCACAGCTACTGGGCTTGCTAGGCGGCCAATCTCACCCAGCCAATCATAGCTGTGTTCTCAGGCACACTTCCTATTCATGGTTGGTCTTCCTAAGAAACTCAAGTGTGTTTTAGCGTTTTTCCTTTGGTAGCTGGTGGAGAAGGCTGCCCTGGTGGGTAGCCTTCTAGGGGTTCAACTAGAGGGGGTAACTCAAGGGTCTGTATTTCCATCACTGTCTGATATCACAAGTCACTTTCCTGTCCCCATAGTAAAAAAGCATTCATTACTAGTATATTAGTATAGCTGGGTTTGCAAACCAAGAGCCACTCTGCTCTCCTGCCCACTGATGCCAACACAGTCTTACTGTCACCAGAGCTAGCATTCACCTGAATGCAGCAGCCACACAGCTCCTACCATAGGGCTGAATGGACGTCAGAGACGATGCAGTCCACAGAGCTGGCCAGCCAATTACAAGTCAACTTAGTCAACCCTTAATTTACAGCCACTAATATTCAGGCTGTCTAAAATTCTTGTGTTACCCTAAGTAGGAGGTGGATAGATGAGAGAGAGGATGAGAGGGGGGGCAGGTGAGAGAGAGTTGGGGGACATGCTAACATCTTTCACAAGTCAACTCATTTATGACCGGAAACTGTTCTGAAAGGAAGACAAAAACCCGTCTAGGGAAACCTGACATTTATACAGGGTGACCACAACCACCAGGTGCTGCAGTGTCTACCTTGGCCAGTTTTTAGGTCACAGTTCATCCTACAGTTGAAAATCTCCGGAAATTATCTGGCGATGGGGGCTGGGTGTGAGAGTGAAGGGTGTTACTGGGTCATGAGGAATGAGAACTTCATTACCACGGGTGTCCTACCCAGCCAGGGAGGACAACACCCATCTCTCAGAGAAAACAGTCACTCTAGGAGCCAGAAGCAGCATTTCCAAGGCACAACATGTGACCAAAGGACCATAGAAAGATCTGCTTTAAATAACACAGGGACTCAGGGCATCTTAACCCTCAGATTTGGTGGCTTTTAACCCATTTCAGTACAAGACTTCAAACAAGACCCCTTCTAGGTCCAAGACAATGCCCGGTCTGCAGGTTAGAATCTGTGGCCAGCACTGTTCCCTGTCCCTGAACCCCAAACTTCCAGGGTCTGGCAGAAACCCATTCAGGAGTGAGGTCACTCCACAGGATGGTTCCTGGTTCCTAGTCAAGGCTGTGCTTGCATTAATACCTTACTAACTTCCAGACACAGAACCATTCCTGAAGGTTTGTTTAATCAGTTAGTCCTTCGGGTCTAGCCAAGGTTTGACATTTCTACTAAATATATAAAGATCAGAGCTGCAAGATGATGATGGCTCAGCAGGAAGAAGCATGGGCAAGCCAACCAACAGCACAACCTTGGTGCCCACTGGTGACATGAGAATTTATCTCCTGGAATCGTTAACTTCAAACTGACCGGTCCATGTGAACACTATCTAGCAAGGACCTCCATTAGGCCAGGTATGGGGCCAGTGCTGGGGACACAAAGGTGGATGGGACTGTCTGTGACCTCAAGGTAGACAGAGTTTAGAGGCAAAACGTGGTAGAACAGTGGGGACTGACTTAGTCACATTCTCTGTGCATGGGTCAAGAAGGGATTGCCCTCCTGTGACAGCAATGTGTTCAGGGAAACCCTGGGGTGGCGAAGGAGATGAGGGCAGTGCTCACAGTGATGAGCAGGACGTGCAATGGGTACCGAAAGTGAGAGACTCTACCATGCAGTACATCTTCCTTACCGTGCTGGCCCTGCTCTGGCTTTCCAAAGTCTCTGGCACAGGAAAAGGCTGTGCAGAGTTTCCTACTAGAGAGTCCCAAGAGAGTCTCCAAACAAAATGAACCCTGTTCTGCGAACAGTCACAGCCATGGGGGAATTACACAGGCCACACGCGAAACAAAAGCACTCTCGAAGAATTCATCTCTCTCGACTGGAAAATAACTATGGATCGTTTATCAAAATCAAGCCCAGTGTGCGAGGTCCTTCAGCTCTCAACCCAGCCGCTTCCCTCCCCTCGGCAAGCTTCAGACTTTTCTAGATTTGACCGCTGTGCAAAGTGTAGTGGGGAGGGGAGGGGCTTTGGGTAGTCAATGAGTGTGCTGTGTGTGACCAGCAAGGGTATTTTTCATCGGGGCTCTTCTCTGAGGACCTGTGGCAGCCAGAACAACAACAAAAAGACAAAAGGAGTTTCCTGTGCAAGGTTCTCACCACCCCCACCCCTTGACGCCCCATTCCCATGGCTCCCACCCCTCACCACCCCACCCCCTTACTATTCTGAAAGGCCTGCCCAGATGCTTCCAGGATGGCCTTAGGCCAGAACATCTGGGAGGATAAGCAGGAGGCATTACGTGGAGTGGGGTGGGGGGTGGGGTACGACACAGGCAGACACACACAGGCAGGAGATAATGGGACGCCTGGCTTTAACAGGTGTGGGGTGGGATGGCCAACTGAAAGAGTCCCAGTGGCACGTGTGCAGGGCCCCGGGCGGGAACAGAGGGATAGGTGGGGGTAATTAGTGGGGAGCAGAGCTGTTCTGAACAGATGTCACTGGCCCGGCGCTGTTTGCAGAAGAGGGAGGTGGCTGTGGCAGGCCCTGCTATCAGGCAGCCTAGTCTCTGCCGGGTTAGCTTCTGGCCAGCAAGGGCTAACTTAACTGCCTGCCATAGAGAAGGGGCCCTGCAGGACTAGCTTAGGGCTGGCTTGGGAGTACATTCAAGGAGGCGGCTGTGCTTCTCTGAGCTGCCTGGGACTTTTCTCTACCCAGGATTCACTTGGTCACCTTGTATATGCCATTTACTTGGATTTCTTCTCTGTATAATACCAGGTTCTCTGCCTCCCACTCCCCCTGCCTCTGCCTCCTGGCTCAGTACATGAACAAACGGTCAGGGCCTAAAGTAGCACATCTGTCCACTCAGCCTGCCAAAATCTGCAGTTAGGGTGCCAATTAATCTCGACTAAGATGTCAGAAATGGATTATTAGGGCCCATTTTCAATACGAGGTGCTCTCGGAGCCCTTCAGAGAGCCAAAGACAAGCAGGAGATGCTAGGCCCCCCTCCCTAGCTGGTGGCTGGTGTGCAATCTCAGAGCTCTGAGAGCTGGGCAGTTGCAGGCCGTCTCCTTCATGGCTGAGCCCACCGTCAGAAGAGGGGATGATCTTCAGCCCCGGGATGGTAGTTAGC